CAGCAAGTCTGCCCTGTACTTGTTTTATGCCCACAGCAATTTAAATTCAGAAAATTCTGGACCGTCCCAAACTGACCGCAACTCAAGTCTTACAATTTCTATGTGGTTGATCTTCCTAGCCTACAGGTGCTCGTACTGTAGTTTCAATGGTGACACTATTTTTTTCAAAGAAGTTACATTTCTTAAGGACTAAAATGCTATTTTAAATATACAATCATAGAAACATTGGTAAATTGGTTGCTGTGCCATTCTTCCCCAGACTAAAAGCCTTGGCGATCATGTTGACATTTTTGGTTTAAAATACCTCAGCGACTTTGCTGTGACATTAAATGTAGATGTTCCCAATGCTCCCCAGAGAACAAATACTGTTCGACTGTGTTCATCCCCTAACTTTTCACTCGGTTTCACAAGAAGGACACAGCGTGTCTGAGGCTGGCATTCTGGTTGGAACATAAAAATACTAAAGTTTGACACTCAAGTCCTCCAAGATACAAGGTCCTCTTTATGCCATCGTATCCCACAACAGACGAATTTAACAGAAATGTAGTTTCTCTCTCTCTAACCATGTTCTGTTGTCATTTTGCCGTTTTCAAGTTCTGTATCTGACAAGCCCTTTACATTTTCTCCTTAATTTTTGGAGTAGCTTCTTGTCCTGTCACAGGAAGTAAATGAGCCAAGCCCCTTTTCCTCCATCTCCCTCATTTTATATCCTTTCAGACCCAAGGGCCAGTTTGAGTAATAGTAATTGACACATTGATCTAATAGGGCCATCATAATAGGCCTGTTACTGAGCTGGGCAATGGTGCTCGGCGTCACCTTAACATGTGCAAGGACTGACATCCCGCCATGATCCATAATGATAATTGTGATTTAGCCTTGCTTTCAACCTACGCCCCAGTGTCCCCGGCATCAGGAAATCTTATTACATCTGACCCCACATTGCCTCCATTAGAACTAGGTCATTTGTTAAAATACTGCAAAAGCAAAACAATTGAACCCTGTGCCATTTTGATTCTATAACAGTGGGTTATCATTGTCCCTTTGAATCAATTCCAGGGGCCCATTTTTCGGGATAGAGCTTTGAATTGGATTGATCGGACTCTGATAATGCTGAAATCAATGATGCAGCCGCCTGAAAGTAAATTATCGTTGAGCGAAATTTTCGGATTAATCTTAATGCCAGTATTCTTGATTGGTATTGGTCGCTGTACTTGCAGGGCGAGCACCATTGAAATGTTGACGGAGACATTAACTGTCAGGATGGAAAAATGAAACGGGGATTCTTAGAAACTTTTTCCACGGCACATCTTCTGTCTTCCTAAAGGGGCAGGAGCCACTGGAGGGACGAACACACTTGGATTAGCTGGGTTAGCATCCAGGCAGAAAAACACAGTCCACACTTAGTCTTGAGACAGTGTTTAAAATCTAGGCTTAGGTTGTGACCCAACTTCTCACTTGGCGCCTTTGCTGTTTAGCTTCGGAAATATACAAAAGAACGTTAGTATGTACCTGTGTGTATAAATGTTTGTGCGTAAGCGTGTGTGGATGTGTAACACATAATGTTCCCTTAGAGTTTCACTCTTGTATCAGTCATCAAGATAGTTGCTGGGTATTGTTGCAGCAGTTATTTCATTTTGCATCTCTGGGTGTGTGTTCCTCCCTTTGTTTGTGTTAAGGGAAAAAAAACGTGCATGTCAGATTTTAGTGCCTCTGATCTTACCTAACACATGTGCATTTGCGAGAGTGTGCGTGCATGTGTGTGTTAGCAGTGAGTGGTGAAGTCGTGTTTGTGTCTGTGCTGTCCAAGCTGATTTTTAAACAGATGTTGACAGAGTGTTCCACAGGATTGTGTTCCTAAAACACCACTTATGAAATAGGAAAACTTTACTTATTCCATATTTGGGAAATTCTGTTACTGCTACTATCTGCTTCTTACTGCTTCTGCTACTTTTACAGCTATTACTAGTTGTAAAGGATTAAGTGAAGCACCGTGGATACTTTCTGGGTGCACTGTATAACATAAAAAGAAGCTAAAGGCTAGACAAGTTTGTGAAAACATCATCTACATTTTTAATCTCTGCAGCACTCCAGCTTGTCATAATGAACAAGTTGTTGAGATTCTTCCATCTTTAACACATCTTCAACAAATATCAGTCTGCAGGATTTTTCAAGTTGAAATGATGGCCCAGTAGTCATGAGACATGTGAAACACTGCACAAATACAGCGAGAGTGTACATAAGAACCATGGAATCCAGGGTGGAAGAAATGAGAGAAGAGGAGGGCTGAAGAGAAGGCTGTTTGGGGTAAAGACAAGTTGGGTGCTCTATCACCAGGTCCATTAAGCACTTCCTGCATTGGAAAACGTGGTATGGATGGATTCAGAGTGCCAAAAGCATTGTGCCAAAAATGCGTCAGCCTTGTTTACTTAACTAAGACTAGAGTGATGAAGGTGTTGCTGCAGAAGAATCTAACAAAAAAATGCTGGATCAGTTCACACATAATAGACTGTTTGCTCAGATTTTGCCTTGATGCGTCTGCTCTGCCGTTCGGTAACAAGGTACGTTGGTCAATCAAATGAAGGGTGGGCATATTCCAAGGGCCTGTGCTTACAGAGACACATTTGATTATTGAATCTTTTTATTGCAACACACCAACATCACTGCAGTTTCTGGGCACCAGTGAAAGATCACAGCAAGGCTCTGAACTATTAACATTATATTTTCTACATCTATTCTAGTCTTGTGAACATTGTTTCCTTACTTTTCATCCAACAAAAAGGATGTTAGGCTCACCTGCAGTTGAACTTGGTGCTGATAGGTTGGTGTTAGGATGCTAACATCTAAACTGATGTGGTGGTTGTAGTGAACATTAGGATGTTAGCATTGCTAGTCATTGCGAACATGTTGCATGATTATTGGCTGTAAATTGTGTTGTTGTGATGCATCAACGCTCTCATATGAGTAAAGGGTTATAACAAATTGAAAGCCCTCGCTGGCTGTGACCCACTGATTCTCATAAACAGGCACTTTAGAGGTATCACACTCGATCCTGTTCCTTATCTGTAAATGGCTTTTTTGGGGTCTCCTGATAATGTCATGTATGTTTTCCATGGTTTGCCTTTGGTATATTACACAGTGGGTTTATTTTGTGCGATAGTTTTGAATCAGAGTGACAGACAAAGAAGAAAAGCAATAGTGAAGACTGGCACGGCAGACGGACCTTGACGCAGGAGTCGGTCAGAACAGGGTGTGCTGCTGGAATATTCAACGTGGCTGAGGTCATCTGTCTCTTGTAATGGATGAAGGTCTTTCCATAATGATGTCTTCATTTGAATAATGTCCAGATTTCCCTCGGTGGGAGTTGCTGTAACTTGGTAGTAGCTGTCTGCTGTTGAAGCCACTTCCTAATGGTGTCTTCCACTGGCTCTACTCATCAGTAAAGGGATGTTATCGATCATGTCGACTCTCCTTCTTCACCTAACTTTCACAATGTTGATATAATCAGTGCTAGTGTGCAGCTGTTTTTGTGCTTCTCTGTAACATGTTTTTAATTGTTTTGGTTTTTTTACTCCATTCAACAGAATTTGAAGTTTTATATCACACCGTTTCCCTTTAATCTGCCATGAAAGTCATTGTTATATTTTAGAATCACTGCCTTCCATTTGTCCAAAAAGTATCCATGCTGAGACTGATGAGGTATGTATCTACACTTAGTATGCACAAGCAGACTAAATGGACTGTTGAAAGCACTTCGTCCTATGGCTCAAAAAACAAAACTAACACTACAGTTCACCCCTGAATCCTCAGCCAACACGGCACCACAGGCCCTGCCAAGGTTGACAGAGAATGGAAGAGCAGTAGAGGCGTTCCTCGCAGAGACAGAGAAGGGGCACAAGGGACGGGGGGTAGTGGAGGGGAGTCTCTTGATTAAGATTTATGTCTAAATTTTCCTGTTCTAGCAGCCGTTGCCTGCTGTTGGATAAGCTCCCTTACACACCCCTCTTCTTTGCTGTGTTGATAGAAGGGCTTCTAGTAAATGTGTTTCATGACAAAGCATTTCCCCTTTTGCCCTTCATGTTACTCCCCTTTACTCTGGATTCCCAGAAGGTGCAGGGCAGTGGGACGTCGGGAAATCAAATAAATTTTTGTGCTTTAAGTTTGTTTTCATACATTAATGCACGTAATCACAACGATTGTGTGATTGGTCTGTGAGCACTCCCAAAACACGCGTGACCTAAAGCTGACAACAGTGCCTGAATGCCTTCTGAGGAGCTCTGCTAACATGCTGCTCATGCTAAGCCTTCTGTGTAGTAATCCTGCAGCTTTGGATTATATAAGCCACCTATATTGGTTACTTTGAATCATGCATACGATGCTGGTCTCCCAAAAAGTAGATCTGTTTCGACAAGTTCAGTGATAAAGCCTTAAATGAAAAACTGACCACCAAAATCACAAAGTTAAAGTAGAAAACAGGACTTTTCATTCCTGCAGATGTAATTCTGTTAATTACCTGAAAACTCGTGTCTGTTGGAAACCTGTTAAACTGCACACACGCTGGAAGTGACTTCAGGCAAAATAACTATGGGCCATGAGAAGTGGGTGAGACCCATGATTGATGAGCGGATGATGAGACTACCAGTGAGAGAGAAGATTGTTGATTGACATATGACCTTGCTAGAGGGTCACCTAGGCAACCGCGATGAAGGGATGAATGGGACTGAAAGGTGAAAGAAAAGAAACCTACAGTTTTTGAAAAAGTAGTAACTTTCATTGTACAAAGAATATCAGGTGTGTTTTGCTTTTTTTAAGCATGTTATTAGTGTGCTTTACTTTCCACAATTTACAGTTTAGTTACAAATGGAAAAAGTGAAGCGTTTGGGTGAAAGTCTGAAGTCCCAGTGTTTTATCAGTGGTTACTAGATTATCAGTTCATAAAGTTTTCAAACACTTTAAAATTAATGGTGTTTAAAAATGTTGCCCTTTTTTTTCCTTTTCTCCAGGACGAGCCCCCCCTACTGCTGCGCTGACCTGTATTCGCTAAGGACGGGGGAAATGGTTAAATCAATTCAGTTCAAGACGCCTATCTATGACCTCCACTGCAACAAACAGTGAGTTTGGCTAAACAGAATAAGTAAATGCATTTAAAAAGACTTTTGTCATGTAGTCACATGAATATTTTTTCCTTCTCACAGTATCCTTGTTGTGAGCCTGCAAGAGAAGATTGCAGCATTTGACAGCTGCACATTCACCAAGAAGTTCTTTGTTACAAGTAAGAATATTAAACACATGAGTCCTATAATGCTTATTTACTGCTCCAGGGGTAATTGTTCATATCGAACATGGCAAAAGTTTTAAATAATGAAGTTGGAAAAGAGTGGTTGTTCCGTTCTCTGGGTGCTCTGGTTTCTACTGCTGTGTATCAACTCGGCTCTAGCTGTGAGAACAGAGCTCACCTGGGATTGAGGTGAGCCGAGCGGCTGCACTAACCCAACATGAGGCAAATAAGTGTTGCTTTTTTCGACTGTGAATCATGCAAAGCTACTCTCTGAGAACGACAAGAAATGACAAACATTAAAATGCATAGAATACATCTTCTTTCAATTCTCTCAGCCTGCTACATAATCTGGCAAAAAAAGAGAGGGAGGTTTTAATAGGTTACAGAAATCAATTGCTTTTCACATCAAAAACAAGAATGATTGTTGTCACATGTGGCCTGTCATTATTTTATTGTAGAAATATGTATTTATCAAACACGGGGCCAAACCCCAGCCCTGTACTTTGTGTAGTAGCACAAACAAACAGTGCCAGTCACGTAAAATTCTTTCTTCAAACTTAATCTTTCCAAACATGATCAGCAAGTCTGTCATGCCCGCATCACACAACCCAAACAAATACAAGGCACATCATTGATTATAATACAAGCCACCAAGACCTGCTGGAGTGGAATCCTCTTAAGCATCGCATTGTGACTAAACTGCTTTTATCAAGACAAGATGGTGAGACCCTTCATTTGAAGCTCAGCACAGGAAAACTGTTTACGACACAGCCCTCGCATCCTCCCGGCTGTACCTGCCGTCTCTGCTCAGGGAGTCTGTGAAAGAAATGCCAGACTGTATTACAAGGCCATTGCTGTCTACTTAAGTCATTGACTGGAGTAAACTGACCTTACTGGCTGGCTTTAATGTGTCTCCTCTTTGTCTGCCTGCCTTCCCTATCAGCGTCTGGGCAGCAGGAAACCAAACATATTCAATAGTTATTAATCGTTTCTGAATGCAGGGGCCTCCTCTTCATAACATCGTTTGGTCTGTTTTGGCCATAAAAGCAGTAAACAAAGGGTCCTGTGATGTGGGGAGATCTGCTTTGGATGAGCAATTCTACCTCTGCATGTGCTCTTCTTCTCCAGAGATGTGATGGTGGGCATGTCATGTTTTCATGAGCACTTAGTGTTTGTCCCTTGTTTATGTTCTTGCTTTGCATCGAGTGGTGTGTGTGCTCCTAGCTGGTGCTTGCTCAGCCCCAGAAACTTTCTTTCCCCTCTGCTCAGTCCTGTTTGGCTTTTGAATGGGACGACTCACAATCGTAGTCCTTAATGTGTTTTTACAAAAAGTGCGTGTGGAAACGTTTGAGGATTCATAAACAAGACGACGACTACTTTTCACATGCGTTTGAAACCAAAAGTTTTCCCTTTCTGATAAAATGTGACTGGAAGCAAGTTTTCGAACTGTGTCCCTCAACGTTAGTCTTTAATTGACTTACTGTTTATCAGTCCTGGAAATTTTAAGTAAAACACACTTGGTCATGTGCTGCTGCCCTGACCTTCACATGTATGTCTTAATAATACTTTTGAGTTCATTGTTTCGTAAATGTTTCCGAGGCATTCAGGCCCAGCCTCAAACGTGATGCTGTCCACACACTGCTCATGGAAGTGTTTGGTGCTGCTATGCAGCTTTGTCGCAGACGTCTTTTCAAACACAAAGGTTGTCTTTTACAACCTGTGTTTGCATGCCACAGCAAAATTGGCGAGTACTGGTTTTCTTCATGTGTTCTTCTGTTAAAATTATTCCTGTTCTTTTTTGCCACTTTCAGGAAATTCAAATTTTTTTGCTTGTAGCAGGTGAAGTCGCTTTACATTTTGAGAGTAGAGCTTCTGAATTTCCTCTATCGACAGTTTGTATTCAGTGTTCATTAGTTTGTGTTTCTATCTCTGTCACATTCAGCTTTTTCTTCTTCATCATGTGTTTTTTTTTTTTTTTTTTTTTTTTTTTTTTTATAATTTATTTCCCCGAATCTGGGATTTTTTTTACTTGGGTTGAGCTCTTTTGAAATTGCTTGTACAAAATGTTTACTTTATGTGGGCACGTTAGAGATAATACTTAGATTTAGAGATGGATGTTTGTAGAAGCTTTTCAGCTAATTAGATTTCAGATGAGTCCTTTATTAATTTGAATCATAATAGTGGGATGAAGCAGCCAGCAGTCAAACATTTAGTGTAAAGCCAAAACGATGCAACAGCCATTCAAATATTTGACCTTAAAACCTGCATAAAAAATCCAGGCATGTGCATTATTGACCTCACGCACACTGACCAGGTGTGCTCGTGCACTTTTGGATTGCAAGAAAGTGACTTTTCACTTTCTTGTGAAAAGAGGAGTTTCAATTTTATTTAAACAACACCTGTTCAAAAGCATTTTTTATATTGTAATGTTAAATCTTTGCGTGATTTTTGTTGTTTTTTTTATGCAACAAATAGTTTAGACTGAGCATCTTGTGTCTCACAGAAAGGATTTTGCTGGCTTGGGTGAAAACCTGGCCTGTATGTTCAGGAAGGAAAAAGAACCTTCTAAAAACTGGGAGTATCGGAGAAGAAAGATCAGCCGATCCATCCATCAAGTCTTTTCCCTCTTCTGGTTTAGTCACATGCTCTCCACCCAGGATGTCAGACACTTTCTGTCTTGCTTGGCCTTGGAGGGGCAAAAAAAACCTTCTCTGGCATCACCAGCAACCCTTGTGACTCACCTAAAACTCCCACCGACCCTCCTATCGGCTCCTTCCCCAACACAGTACACTAAAGCCTCCACCTCATCTGCTCCCTGAGCAATAAATTATTGTCAGCAAGCCATTTGCCCCACACCTCTGTGCACTTACATCAGCTAAGTGTGTTTGCATGTTTGTGCACATGTGAGACAAACACCTACCTTTTTAAAAGATCATCACTGGATCAGCATTTTGCTGCTTTGTGTGTTTGCCATACTGGGAAGGAGAGACTGTCACTGTCTGTGTCTGCTTACATTTAAAGATATTTATGATGAAATCAATAATTTCTTCATTCTGTTTACGGGCACATGCAGGCCTGGTTTTGGTTGATTCTGTCTTGAAGAGCAAACTCCTGTCAGATATGGTATTGGTTAAAACACGTTCCACTTGTGCCAGTGTTTACTTCTACATCGATAAAAAGAGAAAAATATGCGATTTTAGCGTTTGTGAAGAGTTTTATTCGTCATTCAGCACTGGTTACTATTTTAATCTGTGATGACAACACATGTGTGTCATCCTGTTTGTGCGTTTGTATATATCCCCATAAGGGTTATTGTGTTGGTCAATCACCAGAGGAGCCATCTTCAATTTTATTGGGTACCAGTCTCCATTAGGTCATCCTGGGTGTACACACACACACACACACACACACACACACACACACACACACACACACACACACACACACACATATAGACACGTCAGCCTCATCAGACTCCCGTTTATTTTCCAAAACAAGAAACTCCCCACAAACACGCGGTTTAAGATGGTTTCAGACACTCTCCAGGGAGGAGTTCCTGTTTTATGGCAGACCTTCAGTCATGAGGTTACTTACCAAAGTAGCTTAAATAAGAGATTGTCTCAAAAAGGTATAGACTGTCTTAATAATGTCACTTGACCACACTTGTATTGATTAATTTGTGCAAAATCTTCTTACAAGTTGTAAAATTGGACTCAATTCTTCAATCAACATAATCCACACCACTCTAAATATTCTGTTTGACTGTAAGCCTGCTCTTATTGACAGTGAGATGAATCGTAAGTCTTTGAGTGGCAGGGACTGAACTGAAGCACCAGCTGTCTCCATTATTAGAAATTTATTAGTTAAAAAGGTAAATTGACCTGAAAAAAGCAGTAAAAGAGCATGAGTTGGTTTGTCTGCAATCCTGTTTTTCTTTGTTGTTTTTTTTTAGTTTATTTCATATCTGTTTCTGTATGTCTCTGTCCTCACTGTCTTATGGCCGTCATTGTGTCTTTCCAGGCTGCTATCCCTGCCCCGGCCCCAGCCTCAATCCAATAGCTCTGGGAAGCCGTTGGCTAGCCTATGCTGAGAACAAGGTAGTCTGCACATACACACATATTCATCCAGTGCAGAAGTGCCTTATCAGAGAAGCGACATATTTACAATCCAAAAAAATGCATTTTATCTATTTTCTGCCTCTTTAATCTGTCTGGATAAACAACTCATTCCAAGAAGAGTCCACTAGAGATGATAACATTTTGAAAATCAGCAGATGTACTGGAGTTTTCTGTTTAATGGGATTGTTAAGTATTTACAAAAACCAGAATGTTCTATTGTGCATCCTGTAATACTTTTAATGTGAAGTAGTGTTTTGGTGCTGGCCCACTCAAGTAATTGACAGATGGGGCTGCTGTTTGTGCCTACGGATTTTCAGAAATGACCAAATCTAGTTTTTCAAGAGTAATACTGGGACGGAGCTATTCCAGTGATATTGTATATGAAATTAATCAGAGCAGGCTGTTTGGTCGTGCAGCCTGTCTTTGACGACAAAACCAATTTCCTCTAAAGAGTGAAGAGGGAAACCTTTTAAATGCCTGCATCTGGGTTAATTCTCCCAAATTTACCTCTTCGTTGATCTCCCTCGGACGTCCGTTATACGTCTTGTGTTTATTAGTAAATCTACCTTTTTTCCAGTTGATAAGATGTCACCAGTCTCGTGGAGGAGCCTGTGGTGACAATGCACAGTCTTATACCGCCACAGTGATCAACGCTGCCAAAGTAAGTGATGTACAAACACACATTTAACTGTTTTTCTCTACATGTGTTATCGTTCTCTCTCATCGAGATTCTTAGGTTTTCTTCTTCTTCCTCAAAAGTAAATAAATAAAAAATCCTAATAAGTAACATCCTAAATGGCATTCTCTAAAGCACTGTGTTCAGGAGAAGTACGCCGAATGTGTCACAGCTTTATTTATATATAGGTGTGAACATAAAAGAAATGCACAGGAGAACATGTCTGGCTATTATTTTTTTAAAGTGTATTTCAGATAAAAAACATTACATTATCTCCTCTCAAAGTCCATACACGCTCAGATTGGCATTCATGAGCTAAAATTTATGGTTCTAGATAGCGAATCAACTGAGACGTTGCTCTGGATTAATTATTAGATAGATGTGAGTTCTTATGAACATGTAAAACTACATTCAAAACTATACTCACGTTCTCACAATATGGCTGTAATCAGTCTGAACGTCCTACGGTAAGCTTGACACTCAGATAAAACGGCACAGAAGATGGTATTTCCAGCTCTGCCGGCACCATCTGTAAATGTGCTGACATTGGATCCACCTGTGCCGCCTGGCCGACTGTGGCTAAGCTTATGAGACACTTCATCAACCTGCTGATCTCCCGCTTCCCACTATAATCTGTTTCTCTTCATTGGTCTTGTTTCAGTCAGCATCATGGGGAAGTGGCTCTAAGATGGCTCACTAACAGCCAGCAGCGCTCTCTTTGATACCAGGTGAAATAAAATCCTGGGCCAATAAAGCAACTTGCTAACACGTGCAGACGAACTAGCTCCTCATATGGTTCTAGTCTGTTTCTCCACTTGGTCACAGAAGAAGGGCTAATTGATTCCAAAGAGCACGTGGATCTCACAGCTAGTGCGAAGATGACTCATTAGTGGGGTAACAAGGCTATACATCAAAAAGACAACTGTCTTTCTAACAGATTAGCAGCATGGTGATGGGTTGACAATTGCAGGGGGTATTGATATGCAGACAGGCAGTCTGCTTGCCCGCCCTCTCCTCGTTTAGGACCATATATCTCAATATGGATGACAAGGTATCTCCCTTTGGCTTGTGGCGCGACACGCTGGCTCTTAGTGCTGACATCCAGAGACATGGGAACAGAAAAGGAGGAGGGCGGGGGCAGCATTAAAGTATAATGGCTTTTGTTTATAAAAAAGAGAGAGAAGGCAGTGGCGCTGACCGACTGGGCTGTTCTGAATTTTCTGTCTTACAGGGAATTTATGTAGCACAAAAGTCCTGTTGCCTGTCATTCCTGGGTGTATAATTAAGAAAGACCGTTCACATAAAGATTAGGCTGTATCGTGTTTAGATAGTAACATCAGCTCTGCGTGTGTAAGTGTTGTGAGCCCTGAGGCATGATCTTCCTCCAAACCCCCCCTGCGTGCTAGGAAATCAATAACTCCTGTTTGGACTACTAAGAACTCCACAACTGCAGTGATTAGAAAACACATTAGTGTTGATCAATTAGGAGCCAAACGCCTCACTTAATAATTGATGGCTTTTCTTGCATTTTACACACTCACACACACCCCAGTGCATGCACGTAGCATCCACTGTTAGTGTGTCTGGTCAAGTGGCAAAGAGAGACAGCGGGTGATCCCCAGACCCAACATATGCAAGGCGCCACACTGTATTGACAGGGCCGCCTAGTCTGAATGCCTGATTAGGCTCTCCGGGGCCCCTTTGGTGCTTACACACACACAAACACACAGTCACACACACTGGACTCCATTAGAGTAAGACAGTGTAGTAGGTGAGATAGACTCCACTTAAGCAGCACTATCCATTTCCCTCAATCGAGCCACAGAGGTGTGTTTGAGGCAGACACCCTGGCTGGGCCTTAAGCGGACACAGAGGAGCCTCCCGCGTACGCACGTGTCTTCTATGGCTGCAGTCAAGTCATCAGCACTGCGAGCCATCAGCCGGCATCAAGTGAACATGCTGTATACATGCACCCATGCACAGAAGCACGTATGCGCACTGCAACCCAAACCAAAGATATCACATAGATGTAGAATATATTGCTTGGGAATATATAACATCAGGTGTGTATTATATTTTTTTTCTTTCTTCCTCAGACTTTAAAAACAGGTCTGACGATGGTCGGTAAAGTCGTGACCCAGCTAGCAGGCACCATACCGGCAAGCACTCCAGACGAGGAGGGCACATCTCACAGTGCAAGCCGTCGCAGCCCACACAACCCCGGTGTGGTCACCATTATTGACACACACAGTGTTGGAGAAGGACAGGTCAGTTCAGTTGTTTGCTGCTTGAAATGATTTTAAAATACTACATTTTATTAGTATTAACTGTGATGCTTTTTTTAGTTGGTATTGACCTCAAATCGAAGGAGATATCTCATTGCAGCAGTTGCAATTAAACTACAAGCCTTCCGTGTCTTGTAGTTTAATTAAACACTCGTGCTGAGAGAGTCGAGTGGATGCAGAGTGTAAAGGTAAACTCTTATACTGCTTTGACATTCAATCATTTGCTCATCTGTAGTTGGGTTTCTATGGTAAATGGTTGGTACCCCTTTAAACCGGTGCTTCACAAACCAGTCAGTGATACCATCTTTTATATACAGTCTATGATGCTTTGCCATTGTGTTCATCCGAGGAATTGAGTTGCAGGATAATGTCTCCTATTAATTTGCTGAAGGGTTTCCAGTACACAAAGACAAAACTGACCATTACAGTCTTACAAAATCCATTAAAGTGAGCACCTCCTGCATTCACTGAGGAATGGCATCTTAAAAAAAGAAAATGGGGCCATGCACATTATTAATGTGGTGAGCAATAAACAATGCAACACCAGCAACAGCAGAATTCTTAATATGTCTTGTTTTCCGTCTGTGGAATAAATGAGCAGGCAACGAATTCAAGCTAAAGACTCCTTCAGTAGATCACAGAGTACAAACATTATATCAATAATATGCTGTTGGCCTCAACCAATCAAACACCTCTGCTATGACTTACTGGGCCAAAAGATTAAATGGAAGAACGATGTTCATCCCTGCAGTTTCACACACTGTTGCAGTTCATGGCAAGCAGCTGTGGAGCGAAAAACACCCTGTTAAAACATTTATGTTGGTTTGCCTCTCATTTGTCACCAGCTTGTATATTAGGTTGGTCACAAGTTAACAACACTAGATTCAGTGGATGGACCAACATAAAGTCATTCCTGCTTCGTCTTGTCTTACTGTTTGCTGTTTGCAAAGTATTCTTTAAATAAGTTTAATTGTGATTTATATATATATATATATATATACATATATATATATATATATATATCTCTGTCCAGAAGAGCGCAGTCCTGGGAACAGCTAAGATACTGCGCAGGACCCTCAAGCTCCCAGGCCTCTGGTAGAGGACCCGAGCTTGAAGGATAAACCGCCCGCAGGGGCGTGCTGGGTGTTTTTTTTTTTTTATATAAAAAACTGGGTTCACTGTTACCACCTGACAGCCTTGTTTAAGTGACTTTTATAGAAAGTTACTGCTTAGACACACACAGCAAATGGGCTTTTTGCTTCCTTGGTCTCATCATGTATGTCCCAGGTAAATAAAACTTTGCCTCTGTGGCTTGGCAAGAAGCAGGCTTGGTGGCTTGGACTCACTCAGTCTCTTTTACCTGGCTCTGCACGACTAACCTAAAGGTGTGAGTTAGATATGCTGCATATTTTAACAACTGAGCTTTTAGCCAGAGTTCTGTCTGTTTTGGCCGTGCTGGTGACAGAGACACTTTGTAAACATGCAGCTGCAACCTGACATGAAGCTCGAGGCTGACTCAATGCACCACATGCTAAATCAGGTCCTGGATTTAAGACTGTAGGAAATTCATTTTCTGGACGTATTTTTTGGAGTAATTTTTTTTAATATATATAATTTTTACACTTTGTAGAGGAGATGCTTGGAGAGGCTGTTGCTGTTTATTTTATTGTAACAAGAAAGTTGTTGTTATTCACTTTAGCTGTCAGTGGTTTACAATTTTGTGGCGTAATGCAGCAAAAAGGCATTATTAGTGTTACAGATGGTCTTCAGGTTATTGTGCCCTGTTTAGAGAAGTAATACATTAATATTTTTGGGGATATTTTTTTAATCCCATTGTAGCTTTGATGCATTTGTTAAGGCAATTAAAATTAAGCTAAATTAATAAATTTAGTAAGTTAAAAAATTATACATTAAATATAAATATTAAGTAATAAAAATGCACAACAAACCAAATAACATAATTTTAAATTGCTAAAATAAATTTTTATTGTTCACTGATATTTCAAAGCATGAATTATGGTTGATGTAACACCGAGCACGACTCTACTCAACCTTTAAAGTTGTATACAATGATGTATTTGCAATAATAAATAAATAAATAGAAAAGTATATTGGTAAATGTTTGGTGCATGTAATTATTTTGCAGTGCAATTTGAAAACAACTTCCAACCAACAACAAAGGTCACCAGGAGTTATCACAATAAACAGTCTAATAAAAAGGAAAGGAAGCCGCTAAAAAATCAGAACGTGTCCCCCCAAAAATAGTGTCATTCCATAAATGACTAAGGTAAGTTTGCATCTATTATCCTGACTCTGGGTCTGACTAGCTTAGGTGTGTGTTATAGTAAGAATGAAAATATGCTGCACTAACCTCGTTTACAGATTGACCAGTTGGCTTCCTCTTAATTGCAAAAGAAATGCTAAAAGCTTTTATCCCTGAATTTTCCTCAGCCTCTCCAAACTGTGATTAATCACACTGCAGGAGCGGTCACATTTTTAATGAGGTGTGTTTTCGTACGTAGTACAGTTTGTCAGTGATGTTATCACCACACACATTCTGCCTTCTCCTTTCCTCTGCGACTGTAACCGCCCTGTAACCAGCCCGTAGTCTTATAAGTTGGATCTAAGCCTTCAGAAGTGGGTCTGCACTCTGTCACCAGGCGACACACTGTAACCATACACTGGCCGTAAACACTGATGAGGCCAGGCAAGGAGGGAGGGGTGCACTCAGAGTGTAGGAGAAATGGAGGTTGAAGGGAGTAGTAGGGGTGGGGACAGTCGAGAGTGTATTAAGACGGAGGTTGGAGGTGTAAATTCTGGAGAGATGAGAGAAGTCACGAATATGATTGAGGTGAGCTCCTGTGTCGTTGTGGAGATCCAAGACATTCCCATCGCTTCCAGTTGGATGAGGTTGGAGCTACATTGTATCACTGCTCCTTATTTGGAATAGCAGCCTCAACACACACACACACACACACACACACACACACACACACACACACACACACACACACACACACACACACACACACACACACACACACTCCCCTGTGTAACAGGGGCTCGGTTCTCTGGAGGACACTCTTGTTTCAAAGGGCTCCAGCAGGATTCCCTAACAGAACAACATTGTCTGCTTGCACTGTAATAAAAGTGATCTGCTTCATGTCACCAGCCTCTTTCTGTTCATGCTGTTCTCCCGCCTTTTCCCCTTTTTCCCCCTGGATCCTTAAGATCTTGCTTGGAGTGTGAGACAAAATCCTTTTAGTTTTTAGAGGCTATCTTGTTTGGACTAGCTTAGATTTTAAATGTTTGGCCAGCTTTCCTGACATCCGTAGTGCAACACCGGGGCCACATTTAACTCTTTTAAACAAGAGTGTGTGTTCTCAAACACCGGTACTTCTGCACAAAGTGGCCTCATGTCTGGGCTTATGTCTAATCTCTCTGTGTGACTAAAGGAGTTTTCTGCCAGCTCCTGGTCTCAGCACAGCCTGTGTTAGATTTGTCCCAGTATTGACAGCAGACTTTGTATGGAGATTTAGGAGCAGCCTCTAGTTGTACAAAATAACTTACAATTTCATTTTTGTTGGCAAGTTGCACAAGGGGAAAGCCAGTTCTGCATTTGATGGCAGTTTGTGCCTGTTTACGGGAAGACCCTGTGTCATGGGGTATTGTCAAAGCCACATGTGAAAAGCCACATCATTGCCAAAGTAAATTTGTCCATATTCTTGTCTCTGTTGTTAGGCCATATCCTGTCCACACTGGTCTCAGTACAGCATCTTTGTAAAGCGCTAGCGCTAATGAAATACAGCTCAAATTATGATGATTCATATTTTCTTTGACCAGAAGAAGTGGGTTTTTCAACAAAGTGCTTACTTGTCTTATTTCAGGTAACATGCTAATTATATTCTGTCCACAAGAGGGCAATGGCACACTCGGAAAGGAGTTAAACTTCCAGCTGTTTCACAGCAGGGTGATGTCAAAATCACCCTGCTGTGACAATATCACACCAAACCAAAATGTGGAGAGAAATCCTTGAGCAGGGGAAAGTCCCTCTCTGGGTTTAATGTTCTCATTGTTAGAAAATGATTTGGATTTTGTTTGTGTGTGTGTTCATACGATCCAGGTCTTGGTGAGTGAGGACTCGGACGGTGAAGGAGTGGTGGCTCACTTCCCAGCTCACGACAAACCTATATCCTGCATGCAATTCAACCCCAGTGGTAATGCACACACGCACACGCTCGTTTTCATGTCTTCGTGAGGACATCTCATTGACATAATGCTTTCTGTAGCCGCTTACCCTAACCATCAAAAATGAATGCCTAACCCTGACCCTCAGCCTAAACCTAACCATAACCCAATTGTAACCCTGACACTAAAACCACATTTTGACCCTCAAATATGCCTTCAAACTCGTGAGGACGTCCCCGCAGGTATAGCAGCGTGCCAATTTTCTGTCCTCACAAAGATATGTAAACATGTGCACACACACACACACACACACACACTCATAACTGTTGAAGAAGAAGACTGAACACTCAGTGACCAGAACACTAAAAACAGCACAGCAGTTACACGTCCATTCAAGTGTACGGTAACATATTGTTTGTTTGGCTCACATGTGGCGGCTTCGTCTTGTTTCTTTGGTTGGGCTGGATGTAACCATCCAAGCCAAATTCCAAGTGTGTGTATTCCACTTAAACAAGTGTTTGGCCTGTGTTTCCCCAGCCTCAACAAAGGAAGCACATGTAGATCAGACATTGTATCCCATACGGTAAATGTGTTAGTTATCTCTTAATCTTAGAGAGAATGCAGTAAACGAGAAAAGAAAAATAAAATCAATATTTGCTGTGAGCAGCCTTTTCCTTCTAAAGGATTATCTGATTTACTTTAGCAAGATTGTTTAAAGATTTAATGTATTTGTAGGCTAGCTTTGCAATCTCCACCTCTGTTGTAGAGATGTGTTTCAAACACTTGTGAATGGCACTGCAAGAAGACCAAGCTGTGCATAGTTCCAAAACAAGATTTTTACACGAATCACTTTTATTTTGAAGTCTGATCCAAAGTAAACACAATAGTTAGGCTGCCTGGAAGAGGCATTTCAATAACTGCTTTAGCAATCTTCATCAGGGACTTTATGTTGTGCATTCTCTTCGGTGTTTGGCAGGTAGGTTGTTCCAAGCATTCACCCAGTTTTGTCTTTTTATGTAATCTGTTGCTTTTGTTTTTTTCTTTCTTTTGTTTTTAAAAGAAAATCCTTCATCATGGTGCAAAACGAATTCAGTGCAAATCAAATGCTGACTTAATTTGATGTGTTCTGTTTTATTTTTTTGCACCAGTGTTTGTGTTCAATATGTGTTTATTCTTTGTCATTTACGAGCAACACATGACAAATGTGACAAACGAGTCGTTGAGCAGCAAAAACACTTGCATTGGTTTAAACATTTTTTTACCATTGACTTCATTCCACATAGAAAAGGACACTAGATGCTTTGTACGTGTGAACAGGCTACGTCATCACTTTCTGTGTGTGATCTTTGCGTGTATGTTTCTGTTACTCCTGCTGTGTGTGTATGTGTGCAAGTTAATAAAGAAGCTGCTGAGAGATGACTCTAACCCTGTGACCTCTAAGCTCCAGGAATCCTTGACTTACTTAGACTTATGACTAAACTTAGCAGCTCCATCTCAGGAGGTTTAAGATCATATTTTAGACAAAGACAGGCCAGACATGGTTGTCTTAACCCCACATTCTCCTACCTGCTGTCAACAAAATCACATATATTACCCATCTATGCGGCTAAGCTACTAAATATGTGCTTATATTTTTTCCCATTAGGATACTTATCTTAAGGAGCTAAAAAGGTTGCTAAGAAGTAAAGCTTAGGATAAGTAGTTGCTCTTGATATCTTGCTCCTCCCCTAAAAAAAAACAACGAAAACCAACAAAAACCCCACAAACAAACATTGACTTTGACCACCGACACTACTAAAAGCTTGTTTTGTTCCCAAATCATTTATTGAAGGCCGACAGACCAACTTTATCTGGCTTTGATGTAATGTGATCACGATCAGGTGAAATATTTAAGTTGACCATTTGATAACACGTGCCAGGATTTGCCAGAATAATGATTTTTGAAGTCACGCAAACAGAAATGGCGCCAAGAGAAGCCAAAAAAACTGATCAATGGCCACGAGTACCATTGACAGAGAGTTGGGGAATGGCTGCAATCACAGCATTGTAAGATTGTGAAAGATGTACCCTTAGGCCCCCTCCTCGATTCAGAGATGGCCGTTCATCAATGGTCATGCCAATTTGCATATTACTGATCATGAAACTGGCCTCACAGCCCATTGCTAGTTTCAGTCATTAATCAGATGTACTGTTTGTAAGGTTGGGGTGAAGATGAACACTCATCCTCAGTTGGATGAGTGGTGAAATGTTTCTCCCACTGAAAACACTACGTTCAGGATGTCCTTAACCGGATAATTGAGCATGCATCAGGACATTGTGTTTCTGTGTTTAGACTGTCACTCTTTTCTTTTTTTTGGTAATTGTTTGTCTTCTGCTTCTTGTTCCTAGTTTTACTTCACCTGTCTTGTTAGCCTTAGTTAGTCTCAGCTGTTGTTTGTTCCCCACCCGTGTCCTGCCTGTGTCTTTATTCATCCTTTGTTCCATTGTTTCCCTGTGTGTGTCCCTGTGTGTTTCCCTGTGTGTCCCTGTGTGTTTCCCCCTGTGTATGTCCCTGTGTGTGTCCCTCTGTGTGTCCCCGTGTGTGTCCCTGTGTGTGTCCCCCCGTGTCTGTCCCTGTGTCTGTCCCTGTGTGTGTCCCTGTGTGTGTTTGCCTGTGTGTGTCCCTGTGTGTGTTTGCCTGTGTGTGTCCGTGTGTGTGTCCCTGTGTGTGTCCCTGTGTGTGTGTCCCTGTGTGTGTTTGCCTGTGTGTGTCCCTGTGTGTGTCCCTGTGTGTGTCCCTGTGTGTGTTTGCCTGTGTGTGTCCCTGTGTGTGTCCCTGTGTGTGTCCCTGTGTGTGTGTCCCTGTGTGTGTTTGCCTGTGTGTGTGTCCCTGTGTGTGTGTCCCTGTGTGTGTTTGCCTGTGTGTGTCCGTGTGTGTGTCCGTGTGTGTGTCCCTGTGTGTGTCCGTGTGTGTGTTTGCCTGTGTGTGTCCCTGTGTGTGTGTCCCTGTGTGTGTTTGCCTGTGTGTGTCCCTGTGTGTGTCCCTTGGACTTGTATCAGCTGATAAATGTCTCCCTCTGAAGTCTGCTGTTGGGTCCTTTGCTCTGCGTACTCCATTACATTTGAAAGCACTGGATGTAACTGGTAAAGGTTTTGTGGCAGTTTTTGGCCTTTTCTTCTTTGATTGGTCGCTGTGCTTTTTGTAGTTGGAATTAATTGTTAAAATATATTAAAACAAATCTTGATTATGATTCTTACAATTATGTAAAGTAGAATAACCATTTCTAAGCAGCCAAATGGGATCAAAATCCTCTAACGTGGTCCTTTGCAGAAATATGAATCGCTCGTTTTTGTTAAATGAAAACAGAACATCTTTGTTCTAAAATTGATGCTGAAGGAAATTGGGACTAAAACACTATGGATATGTGAAATGAATCAACATTTCTGCACAAGAACAATGTTGTTAGCCAGCTGACTGTGTTTTTTATGTCGTAGTGTAAGAAAAGTGTCTTTGTTCATCATTTAAAGGAATAATGTCTTTACTTCTAAGATCCAAACTAGGCCTCCACTGAATTCGGTGTATTCCAGTGCTGTTCATGTAGATTTTACAGTGGTTCTGGTGTACTGGTTGATGCTGCGTCAGCAAGCCAAAAGACTCTGCCGTGACCCTTTACACAGGGCACTGTCATCATCAAAATTCCAGACACATTTTTAATCTTTCTAACTCTTAAGTGAGCCCAATCTAAAGAGCTAATACAACTTTAAAATGCAAAGAAATGCAGTGAAAAAAACACAGATTTCAATCCTTTTAAAAAGAGACAAAAACTGCAGGCAGAGCATGTGATGAGATTAGGTTAAATCTGAACACAGGCATAGAAACTTCTCTTGCAGGACTGCTTTCATCATTGTTTTTCTTTTATTCATTTTCATTTCTAAGCTGCCTCTTTTTCAGTGTTCTATAATTAAAGGCCTCTTGTTTTGATCAGAGTCCAAATCCTGAGTGATTGGTTCATTGGTTTGCCTCTAAGTGAACTCGTTCCAAGTTAGTGGAAGTGGCTTTTACTGAACTACCTTTCTTGCCTTACTGAGGTTCGCTTCACAGTGTTCAACCTCAACATGGCAGAAACAAGAAAGAAACAATGATATGACTCCAGTAGAGCCTGGAAAACCAAGACGTTTTGGCTGGGAAGAGTTATGTAAGAAACCCCAGTGGCTTGTGTGTGTTGGAGGCGCTACAGAGGGTGGACCGTTCGCCGCCAGTTATTGGTGTGGCGGCTGGCGCTTCGGTGGATCTGTGGATCTATTCCTAGTGGTGTAATTAGAGGGACGCAGATGAAGTGCAGTGGCAAAGAGCTCTCTTTAACAGCTGCGATGTGTGTGTGCTTGTTTTCTTTCACGTCTCGTCCTTTTCACTTATCCTTAATGATCCTTGACTTGATTATTGGGTATAACGCCAAGGTCGAAATAGACTCATATTTTGATGAAAGAGATACTGTCCAGCAACGAGGCTTTTTTTCCTTTTTCTTTTTTTTGGTGAGTATGACTGGCACTAGATGGAGTGATTGATTCAACAATCAAGCGAGCTCCATCCGCTTTATTCTTTCCAGCCCATGCTCAGTTTGATAAAGTCCTTTACATCAGCGGTCCCCAACCCCCGAGCCTCGGACCGGCACCGGTCCGTGAGTCGTTTGGTACCGGGCCGCAAGAGTTGAGGCTCCGGTGTGAAATGTCTGGTTTTCAGGGTTTTTATCGGTTTTCAGCGTTATTTTGTTATTGTTTTTACCGTTAACTCGGTTTTCCTGGGTCTTTTCACGTGTGTTATGAATAAATCTTCTTTTTTTCAGTACTGGTACTAGTTTTATTTTGTTGTATTTATCTGCGACACATTAAAGGCCGGTCCGTGAAAATATTGTCGGGCATAAACCGGTCCGTGGCGCAAAAAAGGTTGGAGACCGCTGCTTTACATGCAGTTGTGGAAGAAGACGTCCTGTAGTCCTGTATTTGCAGCCCAAGAGAATGTCACATTTTGTATTTTTCTAAACAGCTGATA